CTAGTCATGAGCATGTCAATGTCTGCCTCAGATCGAACTTGTGTAGGGAGGCCTTTTGATGCAAGAGACGAAGAGAATTCCAGGATCACGGTGTCGAGTTCGAAAGCAGGAGTCAGATGGGGAGTGTTTGCGGGACTGTAGCCTGGAAAAGTGTTATTCTGTAACTTCCAGTACCTTGTTCCCGTTACTTACCAGCCTCTGGGTGATCGACAAGCCAAGGGCTGTCGCTGGCAGTGTGATTTAACACGACATCAGTCAGATTTAGTAGGCCGTATTCCTCTTTCGCCACGCGCAAAATCTCCTTGACCCGAGCATCGATAGTACCTGGATCAACACTGCCCATAAAGATTGAGGTATCATAATGTTTCTGGTCCTTGATGGAGTATGGGCTGTTACTTGAGCCCCGTTCCTGTAGGGGTGTCCAATGTAACATGGTATAACCACGATCGCCTGCCTCGTTGAAATGTTCTCGCCAGTTGGAAATTGGGCCCATCCATTTTGAAACAACGGTGAGTATAGCCAGGCCGTCCAGAGGTAAGTATACGATCTCCGGTGAAAGAACGGCGCCGCCCTGCGCAGGAGTCAGTGGCTTCATGTCTGACGAAAGAATAGGAGATCGCGCTTTGGTGCGCAAGATTGGATCTATATTAAAGTAACCTTCTCTCCCTTTAGCACGTTCTCCAGGAACTTCACCATCGTACTCGACCCAATACTTGAATGCTCCCGCGTGAGAGATAGGCAAATCCACTTGAATAGATTTCGAGAAGTTACTAGGAAGTCTATAGAATGTATAAAGTCAGCATGTCTTGAATACGTACGTGAGACTCACTCGCGCTCAACAAACTTGTTCCGTCCGAATACGCCGCCATCCAAAGGGAAATTGGTCTTGAATACGCCATTCTTTGAAGCTGGTGTGCCTGCGTCAAGAGAGACGCGCAATATATATGGAGTATATGCTGGCGGAAGCCGGATATACTATGTGGTTTTAACTCGATTGCGATAGGCTTAGTGACACCAGTTGCACTCACAGATCGATCTTTGTTAGGCCCACCATCGGGATCCAATCTCAGCTCATAGACGCATATTGGCCGCTCATCTGCGCTCCGGGCACTGAGAAAGAATTCCTTTCCTTCATCTGCTGGTGTCTTTGGCGTAACCACATCGTGATCGAGCGTTTGGAGTGCGTGGGATGTGCTTGAATCTGTCTGTTTTAGCTGTGGGAGGGATGGGACTTGTTTCTGTGCCACTCTATCAACTTTCTCCGATGCCTTGGCCATAACACTGAGGGAGCTGGTAGGGAAATACAGGGAAATGAAAGGTGAAGTGGAGCGGAGCTTGATAGACCTTTTATGTTTTCATGGCAAGTGGAAAAGTAATACAGTAACTTGGTGACGTCAAGAACCTGGGCTCGCCAAAATGGGACCTCCCCCTGTTACACGACGGATTCACACGATATCGGTAACTTATTGTAGCCGCGTCTCTGACAGGTCCTCATGCCAAGAATTATTCCGATCTTTGTATCCCACATACGTACGTCTTCAACAATCGCCCCAACTATTACATCTGGTCGACCTCACGATGACAACTTTTAGCTATCCTTTCTTTACCCTATATGCATCGTAAGACCACGGACATTGTCAACTTTACTGTGATTTGAATCGTTTGATCCTCCTGGAAGAGAATGTAGGATACCCTCGGAAGCCTTTCCAATTCGGTCCGAATGGGTCTGGCCTGCATAGAATTATCGGCGAAACGAGGGCTGTGTGATAACACAGTTTAAAAATATCAAACACTGTGCCTCCATTTGGGCCCGGATAATAACCCAAGGAGCTGCAGTCCGGGAGTATCGGGCGCCCGATCGCCTAGCCGTAGAGTCTTTGCCTGTCTCTACAAGTCTCTACTTCGAAGTCCTCACATACGAACTCGTCCCGGTCGAAGGTGATGCGGACTGCCTCTGTAGCAACACTGAGTTTTAAAGTACTCGTGGCCCCGCTCCCAGCTCGTGCCTGTAGATTTTTTTCGATATTCTCATTGAGCAGGAGTGTCGTCAATTTAGCATCTCAGCGATCACGAGGAGGCCTTCCTCGGTGTAGGTTTCAAGCGCGGATGGGGGAGTGTGTCATTTTACTACGAGAGCGATATTATTACATCTTAGATTGAACTAGAAACACTGAAGGTTCGTCAGAGTGGGCCAAGGACCAATGTATGGTCCTGGAACATACAGAATCTCGGACACTGGAGTTGGCTCCCTGTAAAGGAACGTCAGAACTCTCGTCAGAGCCACCTAAGAGCGCGGACGTACTTGTCCACCAGTGAGGCTACGAATGCTGCGAGATCAAAGGCGCGATCAGCAAAATATGATAACGATCTTGAATTGATGTCATCTACAAACGATATTAAGTACATAATTGATTCATCACTGAAACCCAAGATCTATGATAAACCCTTGTATACACAATATAAACCCAACAATGTCTATAATCGGATAAAATATGGCGCTGCAGAAGCTATAGTCTTGTATAGGTATATATTGTTATCCCTTGTGACCAATCTTTATCACGATAACCTGTATCTGGCATCAGTCAAATGAATTTGGCTGTGTAAAAACTAAAACAGATTGATAAACATGCTTGATATGTTTATAGTATGCAGTTTCCACGCTTCAGAGCATTGTTGCCGGTCGTGCAACTTATTTACGGATGCTTGATTTGTGATTAATTTATATCATATTTAGACAGACCCGCCAGTCACATCAGGTTATATATACATCTACATTGTTATCCTCCTTGAGTAATGACAATCGTGATGACCTATATTTAGCACTAATCGGATGAATCTAGGTATGATAATACTGAAACTTGGTTTTTAGTATTACCAATCACATCCAACCTGATAGTGATTGGGACTATCACACCTGAATACTGACAATTGTTCTCACGTGTCTGGCCAACGAAGTAAGTAAAGTTGTTTCATGTCTATACTAGTAAAGAATACTAGACATAAATTATCTTGTACAAAGTTTTTGACACTACGAGTCTTCATTTACTAAAGTAAAAGATGTGTTGTGTTTTGCTATCTGTCATGTAGATGAGTATATTGAGTGTTAGTCGGATGAATCTAGGTATGGTTCTCATGTGTCTGGCAGATGAAGTAAGTAAAGTTGTTCCATGTGTAGACCAACGAAAAATACCAGACATAAATTATCTTATACAAAGTTTCTGACACCATGAGTCTTCATTTACTAATGTAAAAGATATGTTATGTTTTGCTATATGCAACATATATGGGCAATTGCTTCATGAGAGCAATACAGTTTTGATGTCCCAGTACAAACAATTTATTGAGAACCGGCTAATGAATGACAAACAGGTATTGTATCCTCAACTATACAATGCCAAATTTCCATTGCAATGTACAAAACATAGCACACATAAATCACGATAAACCAGAAACAAATCACAATGCTATTGTTTGTGTAGCTTCACCCATGGGACACATACAAATCAGATGGTATGTACTACTTATACAAGTAGCAAGTATTATATGTAGGAACTGTAGCAACAGTGTCATTGATGGGGAGATGGCAGAAGGGGAGGGAGACAGAGATGGTAGCTGAGGGAGGGAGACAGTAGAGGGAAGGAGATGGAAAAGGGAGGGAGATGGAGATAGTAGAGGGAAGGAAACAGTGAAAGGAGGCAGAAGGCAGAAGGGGGGAGATGGTGTAAGGGGGAGATGGCAGAGGAAGGGAGATGGTAGAGGAAGGGAGATGATAGAGGAAGGGAGACGATAGAGGAAGGGAGACGATAGAGGAAGGGAGACGATAGAGGAAGGGAGACGGCAGCAGAAGGGAGACAGCAGAGGGAGGGAGATGAAGACAACAGAGAGAGGAAGATGGTAGAATGAGAGAGATTGTCATATCCCATGATTCGGACCCATGTTCCATCATATTCCCACGCCTTCTGAGCCTATGTCCGGACCACACTTTATATCCAACTCATTCCCAGATCCCCTTCCACTGTGTGCTCCACACCTCAGCAGGATCGACTATGCTCTGGATTTACCCCTGAGCTCCAGACCATTGGATCCTCACTGCTAGCCTGATCCGTACAACCCTATCCTGTCCACCCTATGCGCACTCCATCCAGCAAGACATCCAGACTTTACCTCCTCTCGGATTCCAGACTACATCCACCACCTCACATATCTCAGTCCTGTTTCTGCCCTGCCTTCCAGATCACCAGATCTCCGGACCTCCGGATATTAACTGTTACTATCTCTGGACCTATTCCCGCCCTCTATCCGAGATCCTGCGCCTATCCCCATTTAGGCATCTCCGCCTTTCTGGTTCTCGGTTATCTCTGTTTCCGTCTTGCTGATTGATCCTTGTACTAGTTTCATCTCCGAGTTCATTTACTTATGTTCCGTCTTACTTACCAATGTGTTTCTGCATGCTCGTACATAGCCTTACTCCTTTGCTTACTGATCCTCTCAGATAGCCTCTAGTATATAACCCCTGTACAACTACAGTAGAGTCCTCAGTCTGCTCCAGACCTTTGGACCTCCTATCCTTCCATCCTGTTTCCTGTAGAAGTATTACCTTGCAGTGGGAACTCTCCTGAGCACTTCCTGCATTCCTCTGGAACTCTCCCGTGCTCCTCCAGAAGTCCTCTAGCGCTCTCCAGCAGAGTAGCCAGCCTCTGGAAGTCCTCCAGACTTTGTTGGACCATCATCGGACCTTGTATGAAATGAAGGGCACATACTTGGGTAAGGGGCACAGCGTACAAGCTGAGGCCAAGCCCCTCTGAGTCAGTCTCTCTCCCCCTTGAGCAACATGGTTCTTAACAGAGATGGTAGAAGGAGGGAGACGGAGACAACAGAAAGAGAGAAATGGTAGAAGGACGGAGATAGTGGAAGGAGGGTGATGGAGATGGCGGAAGGAGGGTGACAGAGACAACAGAAGGAGGGTGATAGTGAAGGGAGGGAGAAGCAAGTTAGGCTTGTCAAGCCCATGTCCGAGCAACTGATAACTGTTCAACCCTTTGGGGGCGATAAACAGACACATACTTGCGACCAAAAACTTTGCTGATATACAATATAATGAGATGGACGACAAAGAGCAGCAGCAGGCTACTCACCGGTTCCACCATAGTAAAATATCATCTACTTCATTTGCTGTGTCTTGTGTTGGGGGAAGCTCAAAGAAATCAACAATATGGTTATAGAAAACTTCACTGTTGAAGTCATCATCCGTGATCTGCCACAAGCTAGCACTGGACAAAGCGAAGCGAAGCTAAGCCACCATGTTAACAATGCAAGGTGCCAATCAGAAGTCATACTTCATACCTGGACAGCAGCATATGCAATTGCCCGTGGTTGAGTGGATTTCATGTTGAGTAGCCCTGCAACATCACAGCGTGTGTGCCACTCGCCACTTGTCCGGGTTCTTCGGTGCTTTGAATGTCCATGTGCAGAAACTTCATCAGAACCAGTCTGCTCTGGGTCATCAAGCTCCGCAGAGGTGGGAGATGTAAATATGGCTTTAAACATCTGTAGCTCATTTCAGGAAAGTGTTGATCATCTGCACAGCGAATCATACCTTTAATAGCAACTTCCCTTTAAACAGGCCATCTCTAGGATTCCTAGCATCATAATGTCCATCATACAAGAATGTTGGCCAAGAGTAAGCCATCACCCTATAATCAGGGTGGTAGTCCCTAATATATCATCAAACACTGTTAAATTGGTCAACAAAGGTGTCACCCAACAAATAAAACTTACTCAGAGTTGTTCCAGTCGTGATCCACAGGACATAGAAGCCTTCCTGTTGCATCATTGTAGAAACCATGGCCAGTCTTGTCATAAGGGTAAAGAATGGGGTCTGGTGGCAGGGTACACTCTGATAACCAAGAAATGACAAGCATCTTGAGTTTTGTTGTATTGTCTGCCCTGGCTGAATCAGCTCCTTTAATCAGCTAGAATAGAGAGTTAGTGAAGCAAGGCCTACTTGTTGTGACGTCTCACCTGGCTGTATGCAAATGCCAGGTCATGGTCCTTGACCGATGACTTTGTTAGTTTACCTACAGATGGGCATGATACAAGAAGTTTCTTGAATGATCTGTGCTGTCTATTATCACTAATAAAATTTAACTGTTAACTTTAGTCACTGGCAATGGAAAATGACTTACTTGGGATCCTCAGAGTTGAACTTGTCTGCATCAGATTCGCTGACAGCACCAAGTACCATATGTTGATCATTGTTAAGAACCATGCTCAAAGGAGAGAGAGACTGACTCAGAGGGGCTTGGCCTCAGCTCGTACACTGTGCCCCTTACCCAAGTATGTGCCCTTCATTTCAGAGGAAGTCCGATGATGGTCCAATGAAGTCTGGAGGACTTCTGGAGGCTGGCTACTCTGCTGGAGAGTGTGGGGGGACTTCCGGAGGAGCGCGGGAGAGTTCCGGAGGAATGCAGGAAATGCTCAGGAGAGTTCCTGCTGCAAGGTAATACTTCTACAGGAAAACAGGATGGAAGGATAGGAGGTCTGGAGGACAGGAGGACAGGATGTCCGGAGGTCCAGAGTATGGAGGACAGGAGGTCTGGAGGTATGGAGGATGGAACATCTGAAGGTATGGAGGGCAGAACGTCCAAAGGTATGGAGGGCGGAACATCCAAAGGACAGGATACCCAGAGGTATGAGGGACAGGACATCCGGAGGTACAGAGGACAGGAGGTCCGGAGGTCTGGAAGGAATAGGGGCTACATTGGACGAAGTCCGATGCAGAAGCAAACAGAGGTAGACTACCCTAAGGTAGAGTCGGAGGGACAGGAAGTGGACCTAAGTCCGGAAAGAGGGTAAGTGCCAGAAAAGCAAGACTCCAGCCTAGGGAAGCAATCCCTAGACTTGGGACAGAGACATAGGGGACAAATCCGAAGGTCTGGAATTCCGGCCTAGGGAATTCTTCCCTAGGCCTTATGGAAAAGGACAAGACTCAGACAGACTGAAGTCCAGAAGATGATTGGGCAGATCTAAGGTGATATTCAAACTGAGGACTCTACTGTAGTTGTACAGGGGTTATATACTAGAGGCTATCTGAGAGGATCAGTAAGCAAAGGAGTAAGGCTATGTATGAGCATGCAGAAACACATTGGTAAGTAAGACGGAACATATGTAAATGAACTCAGAGATGAAACTAGTACAAGGATCAATCAGCAAGATGGAAACAGAGATAACCAAGAACCGGAAAGGCGGAGATGCCTAAATGGGGATAGGCACAGGATCTCGGACGGAGGGTGGGAATAGGTCCGGAGATAGCACAGTTAATATCCAGAGGTCCAGAGATCTGGGGATCTGGAAGGCAGGGTGGAAACAGGACTGAGATATGTGAGGTGGTGGATGTAGTCTGGAATCTGAAAAGAGGTAAAGTCCGGATGTCTTGCTGGATGGAATGTGTGTAGGGTGGACAGGATAGGGGATCCAGGAATGAGTTGGATATGGGGTCTGGAAACAGGTCCGGAAAGCATGGGAATATGATAGGATCTATGTCTGGCATATGGGATATGACAATCATGTTCTGCAACTAATTGTCCAATATAACCAGTCAGACAAACTAGCCATCAAATCGCTCTACCCTCAAGATGGTAGTGGTTACTGTGGTTAAATCAATAGCATGGACATGTGTTTGAAGGTCAGACACACCTTTTCTCTTTGCAAGGTTCCTTGCGGAGCTCTTCATTTTGTGCCTGAAGAACATCAATTCATCTCTTCAAGGAAGCTACAATATCAACAGGTAAGTTATTGTATGAGAGAGGAGTTTGCAACATCTGAAATAGACCTTGCATTTGAAAGGCATGGAGTGGAGGAACAAGAAAATTTCATTAGCCTGTGTAATATAAAGGAATCAGTGCACATTCAAGTTTGATCCTATGCTGATTCATACTGCGTATAAGATCTTGCCGATTTACATGTCAGTGGGCTGTTCGGAACTAAATTGTAGATGAACATTGAAAAACTAAAGAGAATGGGGATAAATACTTTGGATACAACTTGAAAATTTCCATATCCCAGAACTAGGGCAACTTGCCATATGCACCATTAATACATCTGTGACTAAGTTAAGTCAGCAACAGAGAGCCAGATGAGACACACCGGCATTTTTCTCCCCCAGCACTGCTCCATGCACTGTAGCGGCCTAGCCCTGAGTCAGAAAATTGAAGGCAACACTGGCTATGGGCACATGCTCCAGGATGTAGGAAGGCTGTCAGGGCATTAGTTATAGGTTTGTGAGAGTTTAAATATTGTCACCCTTGAGGATACATAGTAGCATAAAAATGTTGTCTGACCCTCATCAAGACAGTGTCACCTCCTGTCACCCCAACTACCATGATGGAGCAGCAGATAACCTGGACAAATGTGTCATAGATGTGTACTCGTGGGGCACTACACCCGAAAGTCATAAGGCAGTTTGCCCAGGGCCCACAGGGTATGGGCAAGGCGCACCTGCATACACATGTGGGTGTTACAAGTCGCCCAAACCTCCTTCGGACCTGGAGCAACATCAAGATGTATGTGACCTCCAGATTGAACATGGCCGTTCTAACAGTTCTGATTCCAGGAGGGGGAGACCGTGAGCAAAAAGGCTCATGAGCTGCTGTCACATTCAAAGCGAAAAACACTTGACTCCGATCAAGACTCTGTGAGTGCCAGCTCAATATCAGCAATACCACTGCTTCAAAATACTTACCTGCAGTTGCATGCAGGATCAGAGGAGTTTTGGACTTGATATTACAAATGCACAGTGCACAGCACCAATGCCTGCCACTGAAATGCTGCTACAGAAATGTAGGAAGCTAGGAAGGGGAGTTGAAGGCATGGGGGGTTCAGTACAGTCCCTTAAAGTCCTCCTGAAGGTTGCGGAAGCCATTGAGAAACAGACAACAGTTCTTCAGCAGATCTGCAATGCAGTGAAAAGCGTAGAATTCAAAGACTAGTATCTGGTAGAACATTCAGAGTGTAAAAGCATACATACCCTCTGTGACGAACTTACTCTGTGACTCATTCCCTGCCTCTCACCACCATGACATATGGCTCCCATTTCAACTTTCTAGAAGACAGGAAGCGGTGCGTCTGAGCAGAAGGGCAGGGACTGTGCGGGCCATGACTGGCCAGTGACAAGGACGCAAGGAGAGTCAGGTGGGTGAGAATGCGAAGGCGGGCGAGAAAAGGTCATGTGAGAATGTGAAGGCAGGTAAGAAATGGCGATGCTGATACATAAAGATGTGGCATGAAAGGCAAGATGAGGCCACCAAAGAGTTGGATAAATCTCTGCATGTCCAGCGGAAGGGTGGGAACAGTGCTGCTGAGTGCATTGATAAGGCCAAGTGCCTCCAGCCAGAGAACAGTTGTCCATGGTCAAAGAATGATTTCACTTTCGTGGCGAGTTAAGAGCAGAGGAAAGGCCAAAATCCAAGTCAGGGAAAGGAAATAAAAATGAGGAATGAGCTAGGATTAACACTAAGCAGTCAGAGACTAAAGAAATAAGAAGTTTAAATCCAACCGGAGTGTGGGGCCATCATATGCAGGCAGGAGCCTTTGGAAGGGATTAAACTGGATCAGATAAATGGGAAATGAACTAGAATTAGATGACAAGTTACAACATGAAAGTGAAGAAAGTGATCACATGACCTGTCCAGGGACGGACCCTAACCCTATTCTATGCTTCCTTTTTTCAATGTCTACTAGAAAAGGGCTGGACTTCATTGGCAGGGACCTTGTACAGTAGGTAGTAAGATACAAGTGAACAAAAACAATAGCAAAATTGCTGGACATGTGAAATGCAAACACGCTAAACGGTACTTTTAACATACAGGAAGATAGAGCAGTGATGGAGAAGGTCAGGTTAAAATTAATGCACAGCCATGCGAGTTGTGTCAAAAGTTTCAGAACGGGTTATACCAACTTGACCCTCTTGGTTCCGCCCTCTCAAGCATAGTGAAAAACTCTTCGATTGAAGGATAGGAGCTACATGGATGAGTTTCGATTTCCACATTGGTTATAATGGATGACATTGGGTATTGGGCTGAAGGTGAGTGTAACAATTCCTCTCTCTTCATTTTATCTAGGGGGCTGAAGCGCTGACTGTCCAGCATTGTTTTATCTGATTTCTTTCAACCACATGACAATGAGTGCTGTCCAGCCAAGTCAGAGCAGGAGTTGGTCAAATGCTGTGTTCCAATACATGCTGACTCAACAGAGCACACCATTCTCATGTTTAAGTTGCAGCAGATCTTGTATATGAGGTAATGCAGTGTTAAAATTCTGTTATCTCTGAAAATTGGGAAGAACTATAGACATTGTACCATAAAATAAAGTTCAGCTAATAGAGTGCAATAAGCGAAGTAGAACAGGTAAAGGAAAAAAGGCGAGTGCAATAGGCGAAGCAGAACGAGCAAGTGAGAAGAAGGCAGGTGCAATAAGTGAAGCAGAACAAGCAATGGAGAAAAGGCGAGTACAATAAGTGAAGTGAGCAATGGAGAAAGAGCGAGTACAGTACAAGCTGGAATGAGTGGTGGCGAAAATGAGCAGCAAGTATGATTTGGAAGTGTGAACATCCAAGAATGAGTTGCAAGATAATAATAGCAAGTCAGAGTGACAACAACGAGTGACAATGACAATATGAGTGGTGTGAACAAGGAATGTGGCAAAGATGATAAGTAAACGCACATGGTGGATGAGTGATCAACTGGAAAAGGCGCCGCCAAGTTAGGCTGTCAGCCTTGTGTCAGTAGTAAAGCAAGGTTGCAAGACTCAGACTTACCTTGTTTAATAGCACACCTCTGCTTGATTATTTGCTCAGCATGCTGCCATAGCGATGTAATATCACCACTTCTGAAATCATTCAGGTCGATGAGAGCATAGTTTACCAGCACAATGCAAGGGTCAATAAGATCAGTGCACTCTAAGAAGCTTTGCACTGTCTTAAGGTCCTCTGACGTGTGGAAAACAAGAACTTGCAAGGACAGATTCCTAAACAATGACATCACCAGCGCTGGCTTAGTCCTCTTTGTGTGAACACACAAACACAGGTGAGTCAATTGCTGAAGATGCTCCAAACCAACCGTGGAACTCCACATTACCCAGTCATTGAGGAGTTCCAGATGAGTGAGCTTACTGAAGACTGGGACAGTGGAAAGGGATATGAGTGGTGTGCGATCAAATATATGGGAAATACTAAGTGATAATGATTTTAGCGGAAGCACATTCAAGGGATGCAGCAGAGGGTTAGGTTCTCTGGCCAAATCTGATGGAGTGATCCATAGTGCAAGGTTTTGTGTACTTCTGCATAGCGAAAGGATGTCAGCAGCAGTACTTGGCAGTACATCACCTTCAACACATAAAGATCGAACCACTCCTCCAGAATGGTTAGGTGATCGGAGGCGCATGGATAACAGGAAGCAGCTGGCTGTTATTTCATCATATAAAACTACTTTTTGATAAAGAAGCCTTTCCATCCTGTAACAAGGGTAGGTCTTAATATCTCTTTGACCTGGAGGTGACCACTTACCAGGAATGTACCCTCTGCGCAACCACTAAGTAGGAGAATGCTCTTTGCACGGAGTCAGTGGCCAGAATGAATATCTGTCTCTCGAGTTCTGTTGGGAGCATCGCAGTCACAGTGTGCTTGATGTGTGTGACTTGAACTGGTGAGTTCCAAGATACAGTGCCACATGTCATTTTGGGTCAGAGTGCTAGTGCCAGGATACCCAATGTTTCGACAAGACCTTGCAGCGACTTCAGTTTTTGTTGAGTAGATTGAACTGAAGTTCATGCTTCAGCTCCAACTTGGAGTAGCCGAGTCATGCCGTTCAAGGCTGTACTAAAGTATGTCACAAATTGCTGTTTCCCATGCAAGCTGAAGATTTCGTTTGATGCAACTTTCAAGCCAGATCATACTGCTGAGTGCACATGAGGGCCAGATCTAGAGTCCTCACTTACTTTATTTTGCTCCTAGCTACATTCTCTCTTCTCGTCATCCTGATGAGCCACTACTTCAAGTGCCATTCAATCTGCAGCCAGTCATTTTCATCGCCAAGTGGGTTAACGCGCCACCAGAAAAGTTGCTCCCATTGGCAACGGCAGCTGACACTCCAGTCACTACATTTCAAATGAGCTGCAGAAGTCATGCAAGAGGAGTCTATGTCAAAGAAAATAAAGCTCAGCACTACTCAAATGAGTCTTCTGCTTCACCCTACCCCAAGCTTCATTTGACAAGACTAGCTTGCTGCAGCTGGGTCTTCGTGCAGTGTTATGACCACACCCCCTAGCAGCAGTTATACCATTGCATCATGTGATACAACCCCTCAGCATTACCCTCTCTCACCTCAACTATCAACAGAGCCTAGACTACCTAGCATCCCACAAGAGGTGCAGTCTGAGCCACCTATATTAACTCCTACTCCTGAAGGCACTTGCCCCACTCGGACTCACCAGTTACCTGCACGATTTAGAGATGAGCCTCCTGAGCCACCTCCCCCTGTCCAACCACCACCACCACCAGCCATTCGCCGAGTAATTCTCCATGTTTTTGACTCTTTACAGACATCCATAAATCTATTTGGTATTGGAAGGGAGTACCATCATCGACTGACACACAACCCAGATGCATTTGTCTCTGCAGACCAGCTATCCAACTTTCATCCAGATTCAAACCCTGAACCATCCAATACCAGGGTAGTGTCTTCCCCGAAGCCACCTCCTTGGCCTTGGTGAAACATGAGCATCTGGCGCCTCATGACTTGGATGATGACAGGAAGCAACCAATTGTCTGAAGCTAAGGTAACTCAACTAGTCAAGGAAGTCCTATCAGTGGAAGATTTCAGTGTACAGGATCTGAATGGCTTCAATGCCCATACAGAAATGGGGCATTTTGATTTGTCTGAAGCCAGTCTTGATGACAATGATATCTTCCAAAGGGACAGTTGGAAAGAGACAGCTGCAGAGATTCTGGTGCTGACTAGGGAGAGAAATCCAAGTGGGAATGGACAGCCGTTTACTGTTCCAGGGTTCCAGTACTGTCCGCTCACAGCCATGATTCGTGCTGCTTTCTCCGAGGCAGCATCAAAATGGTTTCACTTCACTCCCTTCAAGCGCTTTTGGATGTCCCCTGTAACTGGTCAAGAGCAGCATCTCTATGATGAGCTCTATACATCAGATGCATGGATTAAAGCACACGATGATTTGCAGAAGGAGAAGAGAAGTGACAGTTGTACCTTGGAGAGAGTCATTGCTGGGCTTATGTTTTGGTTGGATTCAACACACTTAGCGCAGTTTGGGAATGCTTCGGCATGGCCAGTTTATCTATTTTTCAGAAACCAGTCCAAGTACATGCGCACCTGCCCTACCTCCGGTGCATGCCATCCTGTAGCATTCATTCCTACTGTAAGTGCTCCCAAACACTACCTGCTACTAGGTGGTTATACTAACAGTTGTGTTTCATAGCTACCAGAAGTGATCAATCAATTTATTGCACAGATTACCCTAGTTAAAAGGAAGAGTTACGAGGATGTTCTAGCTCATTGCAAGTGAGAGCTGTTTCACACTATCTGGCATATTCTGATAGATGATGATTTTGTCGAAGCGTACAAAAATGGCATCATCGTCAAGTGCTACGATGGGGTATACCGCAGAGTATTTCCTAGGATATTTACCTATTCTGCAGACTACCCAGAAAAGTAAGCAAACTATATCCTTCCGACTTCCCTTTTACTAACCAAGATGCCGCCAACAGAGTTCTTATTGCAACCATTCGTGATAAGGGAATTTGCCCATGCCCATGATGTCTCCTCACAAAATCATATTTTTGGTGCATTGGGCTCATTGCTGATATGTCAGCAAGAGTTTCAAGAGTACGACAATATCTTGGAGACAAAATCACCATTGCACATGATGCCATCTACAACTTAGGCCTCCCTATCAAAGGTGCTGCTGTAGAGCATCTTCTAAAAGAGTTCTCCCTTGTTCCTACCTTTGTGAGCCCATTTTGTCTTGATAGTTAGCTATTTATTTACATTGCATCTTTAGAATGCCTTTGCGGATCAGCTAGGCTTCCTTGGTTTTAATTTTTTCCTGATGCTCGTTGTTGACCTTTTACATGAGTTGAACTGGGCATATTCAAGTCCATTTTTAAGCATCTCATCAGGCTCCTTTATGCCATAAATCCCGAAACAATAACTGTCCTGAATGAATGGTAAAGACATTTGGTTTGTTTAAAGACTACTGATTTTATTTCTGACATGGACTCTTTCTTACCACAGCTTCCGCTCAATCCCTTCCTTTGGCAGGGGTGCAATTTGGCGTTTTCCATCCAGTGTGTCAGATGTGCAGCATAGTGCTGCATGGCACTTCGAGGACGTTTTACAGGTTAGTTGGTCTGTGAACTTTGCTGTTTTCCAAACACTGACTTCCCATTTCTGAGCAGTGTGCAATCCCTGCATTCAAAGGGTTATTCCCTGCACAGCATGACAATGTTGTCTGTCTTCTTCTTTTTCAACTGGCTGGATGGCATGCCTTGGCCAAGCTTCGGCTTCACACAGATGATTCACTAGCTTGACTCAATCAGGCACTGGAAGGTTTAGGAAAGCAACTTCGAAAATTCCAGCAGTTTACATGCTCAGCTTTTCAGACTGTAGAACTTCCATGTGAAGTTGCTGCACATCAGAGGAGGCATGAAGCTAATCTAAAGTCCACCAATGGGGGAACAAGATCATCAGGTGCTCGTCCCAGGACTTTCAATCTCTCAACATACAAATTGCATGCACTTGGCGATTATGTGGGCTCCATTAGACTATTTGGAACAACGGATTCATATACAACTCAGATTGTACATAGTCATAGTTGATGTTCAAGTATCTGACTGTCTTAACATTCTGCATTTTACAGGGCGAGCTTTCCCACCATCTCATAAAAATGCTGTATCAAAATACAAATAAGCAAGATGTCTTGAAGCAACTTGCTAAATAGGAAAGAAGATGTACTCATGTCCGCCAGCTGCAGCAATCTACAGCCCCCCTCCAGGATATACATACCAGTGACCTACTGATCGAGGCTCACCACTTTATGTCCAATACATCCAACTTCCTGAATCTAGCCCATTACCTGAGTGAACACGAGGGTGATCCAGCTATCAAGGTAAGATGTTAGTCTACTAAAACTTCACTGCTAACGGAAACCAAAAGGGCTTCGTTCCTAATCTGAAAGACCATCTTCTTTCACAACTGCTCAGCTTGGATTATGATGGTAATGAGAGGGTTTTCACTGATGCGGAATGAAACAGTGTATGCTTCATCAACAGCCTGAACAAGGTCTCCCAAGCCAAGCGCCTCCAAATCAACTACATGACCTATGATGTCCATTGTGATCAAGATACCCTGAAACCAGGGTACGGTGGTGTTGTAATGACTTTGTCAAGAGAACATGATGGTGACACTCATCCATTTTGGTATGCCCAAGTTTTAGGTGCTTTTACCATACAGGTGCTCCATGTTGGCCCTGACGTTTGTAATCGCTCACCTCAGTCCATGGAATTCTTGTGGGTTCGATGGTTTGGTGTAGTCCCATGTTACTGCTGGAGCATCAGGGAGGGTCGTTTTCCGAAAGTTGGATTCATACCAGACTCACCCTCTGCATTTGGTTTCCTTGATCCCTCTGTTGTTCTTAGAGCCTGTCATCTTATACCCTGCTTTGCTGATGGCCACATGGATACTCTTCTTCGGCATGGCCCAACTGTTGTGCGACCATTCAGAGAAGTAAATGACTGGGCTGCCTTCTATGTTAATATGTGAGTAAGTCAACTTTGTTGATGTCCTGATCAATAACAGTTTGGGATATATAGTTTTGCAGATCGTGATATGTTTGCTCATTTCGCAGGCATAGGTGTTGGCCATGTGGTTCAGTATAACATGTTGAAGGACACTGAGTGTGAACATGGACCAGGAAGCTGTGATGATAAATTGGACATTGTCATGAGCAACACCAATGCTGGAGACTGTTGGAATCAAACTCAAGGCAAAGAAAATGATGATGACAAGGATAATGAAGAAGATGATGACGATGATGAAGATAATGATGCATGGGATGACGAAGATGAGGATGTCCACATATCTGGTGAAGGCAGTGACTTGGAGGAATATGAAGACTCTGAAGATGAAGGACTGGAATATAAATTTTAAGGTCAACTCTCTTCAGCTGCATTCCCCCTTCCCCTCCTCCCCCTCCTCACCTTCTCGTCACCCTTGTCCCCCTCTCATCACCCTCCCCTCTTCCTCCTCCTCCTCCTCCTCCTCCTCCTCCTCCTCCTCCTCCTCCTCCTCCTCCTCCTCCTCCTCCTCCTCTTCCTCCTCCCTCCTCCTCCTCCTTCTCCCTGTCTTGTTTTCATGCATTCATTAAGGGCCAACTCTGACTGATGTTTGCCACGTTCTACAAAGGTTTACAAACTTATTGGCTCACAATGGGCTGACCAAGGGACCGCTTTTTGTTATGGACAATTTGAGAATGAGACCAACGAGGCTTTCCTTATCACTCACTCAGAAGTCCATTTCAACAAACTCATCCTGACTACTCGAATTCACACCACTGACGTCTATCAATGCCAACAAGGTCCATTTGGTATTTACAAGGATCTGCTGATACCCACTCATGCAACCACCAGATACATTGATTGTCTGGACAGAACCAGATGGTGCAGATTATGCCTTGAGCTTCCAGGACACTGAATCTTCTGCTCAGACTTTGGAGAATCAAAACAGCATCTTACAAGTCACTGCAGGCAAAGTCTTTGGCAAGCATGGCGACGCTAAAGGCATTCATGTTCCAACAGATCATGAATCAGGAAGGCCAAAAGGTTTTGTCTATGTTAAGTTTAGTGCCCTGAAGGACAAAATGCCCAAAGGTAAGAGCATCAACACATTTAGATTGGGATGGGATTATGTGCAGTCATACAAAAGCTGAAAATTCTCTAGGATGGACTCCTCAAGCCCAGTGAAACCTCCAAATGTGTCAAGACCGTCTCCAAAAATCCTCCTCTCTCTTGAGATCCAGAGCACCAGGAATGCTTTTTCCTCATCTGTCCAAACTGGAGGCTCAACTGGACCAAGCAGTTGTGTGTTGTTCTGTAATGCCTCGTTGGCTCTTGTGCACATGATGGGCATCGTCGCCCAGATTGCGGCCTAATAAGTTCAACGCATCACATTCGAGGGACATCGACGAAACATACCAGTAAGTAATCCGGTATTTCGAAACTGCATGCCCTTGTAATTTGGGCCACCGGTGCTCTCTGTGTCTATGTAAGTAATCAATCAAATGTATAGATGCAATTCACTTACGGCGTTTTCATTGTTATTCTGTCCGTTGTTATTTGGCATGTCGGTTGTGTTAGATGTTAGCCCGAAAGGACTCGCGTTCATCATATAGACGTATTAGTCATCCGGACATCAATTCTGTCCTACTCGCTCAGTGTTCCCTCAGTCGAGCTAACAATTTTTATAATAACGGATTACTTTACATATGTATTTTGTAGATAACGAATATAGTTTTTCGCCGTCGTCCTACTGGGTGTGTGGATGGTTGGGTGTATGCCTACAGTAACATGTAATCTCGACGTCCCACCGCTCTGCACTGATATATAGTATTGAGCACTTTTGATGCATAGATGCAAAAATTAGACCACTAGCTTAGAATTCGACATGAGATGATAATGACTTATCGAAGTGGAAAATATAAGACGAAAAGGCGAAAGCTCGGTAGTATGATTTGTGTTTGAGATACATAATGTATAACTTTGAACACTAGCTCACAACTTGATATACTCATAGATTGATTCGTCGAACGCAAAAGCAGACGAAAAACAAGCTTACAGATCAAGAATATGATACTTGATAGGTAGGCCGATATATTGGCATATAAGGGCAACACAGATTTCGCTACCTTATAAGGTCAATATTGTCATACCGGGTTAACCGGTTTTCAGTGATGTTGGCAAAATCCGTGAACCGCGGTACACAACAGCAAATACCCTTCCGTCCCCAGCCATCCGAATATTTGCTCCACATCACGATCATCAGTGCATTCTCTATGTGCCAATACAAACTCAGTCAACAGGATCAAACAAGTCCCAAAGATCCTAGCTTACATCTTCATTCAACCTCCACCACACCTCGAGGTTAGCAACCAGCATCGTTGATTGAATGATTCATCTCGTGTCTCGCTTGAAAAGTCACTTGGTTCATTCGTACAACGCCTAAGAAACAAACATCAAGACGTCTCCGCCAATATTATGAGCAGTGTAATTACCCCTCGCGTCGTCCGCACCAATCAGCCAGCCCACATCGATATAACCTCTTCGGGGTGGTCGGGATCAGAAACCTTTCTGATCCAACGTGGGTCGAGTACTAGTACTGTTGGAAAGAACGGAGCTCGGTTCCGAGCTCCACAAAACAACAGTATCTCGCAAGATTCTTCCGCAGATAGTACCCCTCAGATCTATGATATTTTGACCAAGTATGCCGTCTAGTTCATTTGATAAACATTGAATCACAACTTCTTGTTTTTTCATTCAAGCTATCGTACATGTGATCGTGAGGGTGTTGCTTCACAGTACGGAAACATTGGTAGAATTTGCAATGGTTTCCTTCTTCCAACACGATACATTCGAAGCGGGAGGACTGGCTGCTTGTTAATCTCATTTACCCCATGGAAATGGTATACTTCCATGGCATGAGACTGCAACTCATGAACGAAGGAAAATCAAAGCAAAGTGCAAAATTGATGCACTGCGATCCCTAATTGCGCCCCTCTGTCCTTGTCTATACTCCATATTTATTTATTTCATTCTCACCGGCACACCATTCTGAAGGAGGGTCAAACCAGCAGTAAGACCAGAAAGACCAGCCCCAACTTGAAAGATATGGGATTGGTCAGGAACGTGTCGCAAATCTGAGCAAACTCCCGAGACCAGAAGGAAGCTCTCCATGCTGAAAGTGAACGACCTGATATGACGCATTCTCCATGAACTGTCCGATATCACAGGCTCACTATTTATATAGAGTTAGCAGTCGGCAGGCGGCCCGTCTCACGAAGATGTTTGGTAAAATGAAACCTGCTGGAGAGAACAAGACTTTCTAAACAAGCACCTGCCCTAGTAGCCACACACAGTGACGACATGGACCTTCTCCTATCTTCCCACAGGGAAAGATATTGAAAAGCTTCCCTGCGCCAAAAAAGCGATGTCAGAAAGAACCACTAACGTCCAGATTCTGATAGATCCTTGATTACAAGTCCACTGTGAATACAACGAAAGTATAAGCAGGAAGATGCCGCGGTGCTTCTGCTGAGCGACGCAAATACAACGTAATGCTGGGGAATAAAGCAGTAGTACTGTATGGTAAAAAGGTCCGATGGGTGAATGTCTTATCCCAAGAATATCCCGAACGTAATGGGTCTTAGATGACTGAGACCATTGTCAGGTTACCAGCTCAGGGTGATATAAAAGCAATTAGCAAGTGGGGAGCAGAAACGTGAATTTGGTAAAACTTAATAATGTCGTCAGTGAAAGAGCATGTATCGACCAAAGAGGCCTGCACTCACATTAACCAGCCAGCAATCACTTTCGGCGTTGTTGTTGCCACACTGCTAGGGGGACGTCTTCTTCCTCGCCCCGCTCTGTGCGGGACGGAAGTGGAGGTTCTGCATGTGCTCTTGGTCTTCTGTTGTGTGGCGTTGTCATAACGGCATGAGCACTGGTCACCTTCCTGGTCTTTACTTCAGCGGGGAGGGCTGGAGGAGCGGCACCCGTAGTCGCAGTGGCAGATAATGAGCGTGTTGTGGCCCGTGTGGCTTGGACACGGCTAGTGGCAGCGGGTGACACATTCGCAGAGTATCTGTTATGGTTTTGGGCTGGTGGAGACCGCGAACGGCGTGCAGGAGCTTGCTGAGAAGTATTACTTGGAGTATGACTAGGAGGGGGCGATGGAGTTAATCGCGTACGCGACAGGGGCGGAGCTCCAGAAGTGGATGACGAAGCCCATGACTCCGTAGGCTGCATGGTGTCAGGTGGAAATTGCTGTTGATCTGCTGCCCCAGGCCCTGAGTACCCGGGGTACATGTAATTGGTCGATTGTGGCTGGACAATCTGGGGCGCATGCACTGGTGGACTTGACTGTCGCTGCATCCTTGGTGGACCGCCACCAAGTGGCGTCGGAGAGGAGGAATTATACCCGTAACTGGATCCATTGTACTGCTGTTCCATTTCTCTATGCTGCATCTCGTATTGAGGACTCTTGATTGGCATTTCAGCAACCCTTCGAGCTCCTTGCGATCCGCTGGGGGGCTTTGTAAGAGCGCCTCTCCTTTGAGACTCCTTTTTCTGTGGTTGCTGCTGAAGTTGAAGCTCTCTTTCGCGCTCAATCTCCCTCTCCCTCTCAAGCCGCTCATTCTCAACCCTCTGCCTCTCTTCCGCTTCCCGACGTTCACCCTCCCTCTCCATCTGTTCATTGTCAGGATTGGACGCGGTCGGGGCGGTAGCGGCTGGCTGATTTTGCGCTACAGGAGTCGCTGCAGTGTTCTGCGTCTTGTTAATGACACCGAGATACCAGAACATCAGATTGCTGATGAGAACCTGCTCGTACAGCGGCCTTCGAGGATTTGCCAGCTTAATATGACTTAGTCTATAGATCGCGCGCTCTACGTGGATGGGATATCGAGCATACATGCCCTGCCCGCCGGGCAGTTGTGGCGATGGCGAGGGAACATACTGTTTTGAGGATTTTGACTGGCCAAGCAAGGCAGTAGCAGCCTCTCGCCCAGACCCGTATGGATGCGCCTGAGATGCCTGTTCGTCGGGCTTTTTCTTGCTGCTGAACAAGGACCCGAAGAACCCGCCCTCCTTCTCCTTTTCTGCTCGCTGCACTTCCTTCTCACGTTCCCTGTCCTTGCCGTTCTTCTTCCCGCCTTTGTCGCTGCCCCATTTGAACAGCCCCTTGCGGTCTTTCTCCTTCTTCGGCACAAGACTTGGGGTCTTCTGGGGGAGGCTGGATGCTGCTATAGCTTCGGTAGATGATGCTAAGGTAGGTGCATCAGGGGACGGCGTCCGAGACGATTCTTCAGAAGGGGCGGTCAGAGTAAGCCTCTGGGGTTGAGGGTGATGCAAAACTATCGCATTGGTGGGGGCATCCAGACTAGATTCAGTTTGGGTCGGTGTAGGCTCGTTATGTGCTGGGGAAAATGATAATAATGGGGCGTCGGAGTTTAGCGACGAGGTTGAAAGGGCTTCACCATCAGGTACATCACAGAGGTATGCTTCGAGGATGAGTGTTTCATCTATGAGCACGTCAGTTTGCGAAGTATGGCCATCACTTGTTATGCTTTCGTTAGAAAGTGCACGAGGTCGTCTACCTGTTTCTGTGACATCACCATGATCACTTGATGAGACGTGATCACTGGAAGACAGATCACTGGAGGTACGTGGTTCTCCCTGTGTGGCAGCACGAGGCCTGCGTCCGGACCCAAACCGATGGCCACCACCATCACCGGGCAAGGTAGTCTTCCGGATCTTAGTGCGCGCAGCTCGACGGAGAATTAGGCCGGGAGGAGGAACGATGATAGGTGCATCGGCCTCATCTGGCATGTCAGGAATATCGTCCATCCTGTCCATGGCTGAAGACAAGGGCCTTGAGCAGATGCCAGGGACGACCGGAAGTTATTCTGCATACTGACCTGAAGGAGATACATTAAGGCTTAAACTTCGCCTGAGCACGTTTCTAAGTTTTGTAGGATCGTCACTCTTTGAGGCCTCTTCTGCCAGTGTTTCTAGCCTTTGTAAGTCGCTGATAGTAAGTTGTGGTGCATTTGCGAGAGGTGTGCGATTTGGGCGAGAAGGGACGACCTTCTCATCCTCGTCCTCGACCTGGTCATTCTCTGATGGCTTGTACTGCCTGCTGAGCATTGAACGCTTGCGTCCCAAACCTGTGGAAGGAATGCTCAAAGAATTTGATCGAAGAGATCCAGCAGTGCCATCTGGGGGTGGAGTACGTGCGTGTTCTTTGAGAAAAGCGCTAAACTGGCCCGGATCGATTTCGGGATGAAGACGAGCTGGCACCCAGAAAAGATGGAAAGGATCATCTAAGCCCGCGCTTCGCTCCTCTGAGCTAGAGCTGCCTTCGTGAGAGCCGCTGCTGGAGTCACCATCTGGTAACTGCTGGGGTGCAGTGCCAGTCCAGTAGTTGGATGTTGGTGAAGTTGGAGACGATGGGTTCGGAAGATCAGGATCAAGAATAAGAGCACCTGGACCGCCTTGTGCTGTAGAACGCCGCTTTATGTCTCGCAAAGCCTCAACCTCGCGCTGAATCTCCAACTGTGAAGGCTGCATGCTTGGGAGAAGCGGGCGTCAAGAAGAAAAAGAGTGTCAGTAAGCTTGCGCGGTCGTCGTGAACAGTGCTTGGACGTCGAGGAAGTTGATGATGAAAGCCACTAGTAAGAAGAGTGGCCGAAATTGCCTTGCGGTGGTATAAATTTAACGCTTGCCAAAGCTCTCCGTTTCTTGATCAACTGAACTGGCGCGGCAGCAACGGCATGTCATCAAACTGAGTTCAAACTGGCTCAAACGCGTTCTTACAAGTCTACAAGATAGTTACATTCAGAACAAGCCAAGTTACATATCAAGCCTGAAGTTTGCTAGAAGGGGCGAGCTCAGTAGGTGGCAGAACTGCTCCGGACCCTGCTTGAACAACCACGATAAAAAAAGACCTGATACTACATGCACTCGGACCCGACGGCCGTCGAGCGCATGAGAACTTTTACGTGTCATGCTATCAATTCAACGCACATCAGAGTGTGCGTTCTGTGCAGCAGCGGCTTCACGCCGCAGCTCCTGAATAACAGCCTGCATGGGTAATTGTCAGTCCCAAAACTTGCTTTTAGACCACTCGGACATTAGCATACTGCAAGGGCCTCCGGGTTGACACCACTCTCGATCATACCCACACATGTCGCGAGTGTCTCCTTATCAAGCTGTGTATTAAGCAGCTGCGAGATCTCATAGAGGGCTGTGAACCGCATTCATGAGGGTGCAATACGGCGCACGTGCAACTTCGATAACACACTGTCAAGGGTCTGCTGAGCAGCACTAATTCTGTCTGCCTCTTTAGATGACATGAGGTCAACGCCTGTTTGAAGAGCATTAGATCTACCGCTATGACCAGATGAGTAATTTTGACTTACAGGCCTCCTGGCTTGAATTCGGCGGGGGGCACTTCCAAGGGACAGAAATCCCGGAAAGGAAATAGATATTATTATATCCGTGCTCAGAGAAAGTCCGACTGCGGCAGCTTACCTTCATGGCTCCCTCAAAAACACCCAGAAGCACCTCGAGGTCAAAGAAAGAAAAAGTCTTTCACCCAGACTCCCGCAAGGCCGGTCAACTGAGCCGGGTGCAGCTGCGAAAAGCAAAACTCGCGGACGCAGCATCAAAGCGAACAAAGAAACACTCTGCTCAGGGTGCGTATCCTATGTTATATTGATGTCACGCGTCTTATGCGGTGGACCTCAGCCGATTTATACGGATTTTTCTACCATGCTATACCTCCAGAAGGCACGCTTTCCCTCGAAGAGCTACATTCCATCATTAGTAATGTATGGTTAACACGCTACGACGATGAGCTTGAGCAGGAGAGAGCTGCTCGCCGCAAGGGCCGACCGAAAAGTACCAAGGAGTTGAAGCTGGAGGAGATCAAGCTCCGTGAATCAGAACAATATCGCACAGGAATGGGTAAGATTGAGTATCATACTTCCTTGCCTATGTTGATCATATTGTGCAGATGTGCCTGATCTTACGCATGAAGCTACCGTTGAGCTATTCCGCAAATGGGACCAGACGGAAGTTGCTTACATCCAACTCCTACGTTTCATCCGAATCAGCAGTGTAGATTCTATGTCTGCAGTCGTATCAAAACAAGGGAAACACCATTCCCTCAAAGAATCAGTTCATCCACAAGCAATCGATGAAGCCATGGTCACTGATCGTGACGACACGCTCCTCACCGAACCACCATCGCGGTTCGCAAGTACGATGGTGATGATGGATGGTCCACTGTCATAGCCAAGGCACAAAATTTGAATACCAGTGTTGGCGGTATCTACCATAAAATAATTTTATATGTCCTACAGATCGTGCAAGCTAATCGGCGTACACCAACCTCTCGCTAAACTCGTATCCTCCCATCTCGGTTTCTGTGGGGCTGAAAAGTGGACTATTTGGTGTCATCAACATTCGTGGAATATCCAGCTCCCAGTTCCTTCTCAGCCTTTGATAAATCACCTGGAAGCTTGACGACGCACCCCTCTCCTGTATCAAATGTAGTACGACCTGATATCCAGCAGTGATTTGCACAGGCGTTGGTCTTTGCACCTCCACGCGGAACCGCACCGACTTTAGCGCCGGCAAAAGTCCAGACGGGTCCTTCGTCTCATCCGTCCTGCACTTGAGTACGCCTGAATTTTCTGCATGCGTGAGGACCACGCGCACGCCCATGTTCACCAGCATTCGACGGCACTCCTCGCGTGATGTGAATCCGTCGTGCGTAGACAGAAGCTGGTATGTTACTGGCTTGAACCTGAAAACACTATCAAGCCAACGCCGTCGCGGCGTCGAGGCAAGAGTAAACGAGCTGTCAGAAAATGCGGGCGAGACAGCGGCTGGGGTGTCACCCCCGCCCTTCTTGCGTAGCTTGTTCGGCGGTGGCTCGATGATTTGCACATGGAGCGCAGGCCGTCTGTCACCATCGTTGCTCCGCAGAGACGACTTCTTGATGATTCCGGGTCCACTGACACTGAGAGATATATTTTCCTTGTCAATCTCTCCGAACTGACTTCGTCGTTCGCGCCTCATATCTGCGTCAGGTATGATCTCCTGGGGCGATGAATAGCCTCTGGTCTGCACAGCATTGTCCTTCTGACGCTTGCCGAATTCCATGTTAACCGGTGTGGGTGGAGCTGAGGTATTGCCAAGACCAGGACGGGGCGTGCCTGCAGTGCGCGCCTCCATTGCATTAAGATGTTCCACGATTTGCTGGAAGAAATGCTGCATCTTATCATCCTTGAGTTCCGGCACTTCAATCGCGGGCAAATTTGTAGAACCGAGCGTAGGTGATAAGGGCGATGTTAGAGATGTGATATATGACGACAAAGGAGAGCGGAGATCAGCCCCTGGACGTGGAGGTGTCGGCGAAGAAAGAGTTATATGAGGAGCGCCTAGTTGTACGTAGTCGCTATCGTCATTGTGCAGAGGGAGCGTGCGACCAGCTGCCCTACGCGGGGTCGGAGGAGCTGCGCGAGGAGGAAGAAATGAAGGCGCGCGTGCCAGGTACGGTGTTTGGGATGTTGTCCTGGTCATGCCTTGAGGGTCATTCCTGGTTGATTTCTCCTTGCGTGTCTTTCTGTGCACCATCTCCTCTTCCTCGTCATAATTTTCCAAGTGTTTGTCCCGATATTCAGTGAGCAGTCGGTAAACACCTTTCTGCCAGTTTGGCTCGGAGCTCTTGAGGCTAGCTTTGATGTCTCCCTCAGATGTACCGTGCCAAAGCGTGCGGAGGTTCGCGAGGATGTCTTGATCAATGTCTTCAAGATCAGAGAGAGGTCTCGCAATATCGGTGAGCCTCGGCGTGCTTGCATCGACAGACTTTGGCTTTTGAGAAAGGTAGAACGGGTGAGCGAGAATTTCAGGGATCGTGATACGCGTCACAACGTCTTTCTGCAGCATCTTCGTGATAAGATCCTTGGCCAAGAGATCGATGCCGGATGGCATATCAAACTTTCCTGACTTGACTTTATCTAGCAGTGTTGGTAGGTCCTCATCATCGAACGGAAGGCGTCCCACAAGCAAGGCAAATAGAATCACGCCACAAGACCAGATATCAGAAGCGCGTCCATTGTACTCCTTTCCCATGATGACCTCCGGGGCCGCATAATGAGGGCTTCCACATGCCGTCTGGAGTAATCCGTTTTTGGAGCTGGCCTGCCAAGCTGCCATACCAAAGTCTGCAACCTTGATATTCTTGTTTTGGTCCATGAGAAGGTTCTCAGGCTTCAGATCTCGATGCGCAATGTTGAGTCGATGGCAATAGTCGATTGCGGAGATGATTTGCTGAAAATAGCCCAATGCTTCAAGGGTGGATAGCCGCCCCTTGTTGCATAGATAATCAAAGAGCTCGCCACCCTCTACGTACTCGAGAATAAGATAGAGCTCGCTGGAGGTCTCCCACACGTCGTAGAGGCGCATTATGTTTGGATGGTCGATGAGCTTCATGATCACGATTTCGCGCTCGATGCTGAGAAGCATATGCTCCGCGGAGTCGACGAGCTTGGTGATAGAGTTCATAAGGATGTTTTTGGACACAATTTTTACTGCGGCGTATTGTCCTGTTTTTGAATGTCGTGCGATCCTCACGCGGCCTAGTTGGGATCAGTGAAAGCGCATAGTTTTGCAGCAACCTAGATAAATACCTGAGCTTCCCTTGCCAATAGTCCTACCAACTTTCCATAGTCCAATCATCTTTGGGTCATCCTCGCTGCGATTCCGCCGCGGAAGCCTTGGATAATCGTCGTCGTCCATAGTGGTTAATAAGGAGGAGTATCGGGAGGCTGACAGACGAAGCTGCCAGTGAGCGCCGCAGACTCTGAGCCGAGGGCAAAGAGTAGCCAAATAGAAACAAATAACACGCTCTCGCTAGTTCGAGTCACGCGTTTTGACTTTCTTGCTGCGAACCTCCACCATCCCCTGACACTACTAGGATTTGCAGACAAGTACTACTACATTCAAGAACAACATCTTTCTTTTCTTGATTTTCTAGCATAATGATGCAGCCTACACCCGCACTGACATCACCTCCAGGCTCACCAGAACCGATTCACGATGGAGAAACTGCACCCTACCCACCTCCCCCGCAAAACAATGGCAGTGCTCCCTTTTCAGTACTAGCCGGGCTATTTGAGAAATTATCGACAGAAAGAAAGCCCGAACGAAGACGGCGACTCTTAGATGTCTGGTTCAACGTATGTCTTTGTCCATACGAACAACACCAGTCCTGACGCTTGTGTGGTGTCAGCATTGGAGAGAAGAAATTGGACATGATCTTTATCCCGTTCTCCGCCTGATCCTTCCACAGGCACGTTTGCTGTCACTTAAACAATAATCTGGGTAAGCTGAACATGTGAGCAGAAAGACCGTGAGCGCGCTGTGTATGGCCTGAAGGAGAAGAACCTTGCCAAGACCTACATCAAACTGATCCCACTCGGCATAAGAGATCCGGATGCAATCCGCTTGCTCAACTGGAAGAAGCCCACCGAAAAAGATGTTTGTATATCGTATTCCGTGACTTGAACACATTCGTTGAGCTTTCCTTTAGAAGAGCTCTGGCGACTTCCCCACAGTTTTGTACGAGGTTGTGAGCAAGCGGTCCTCCGTCGTCGAGGGAAGCCTGTCGGTCCATGATTTGAACGAAGTCCTGGATGACTTGTCCAAGAACATGGGCAAGCAGTACGGACGACGATATTTTACATACTCTCTGGCTAATGACCGCTCACAGGGACATTCAGTCCAGAATTCTTCAGCGTATTTACAATCGTGCTACTGCTGAGGAACAGCGATGGATTGTACACATAATTTTGAAAGGCATGTTGTTCCCTTCCATCATGGCTCCAATCATGTATCAACTTTCCAAGACATGGTTATTTCTGTGAAGGAAACGACTGTCTTTGGCGTGTTCCATCCAGATGCACAAGATCTATTCAACATCTGTTCCGACCTCAAGAAGGTTGCTTGGGAGCTATGGGATCCTTCAAGGAGGTTGAATGCTGAGGTACAACTTTTCCTGTTCGTTGAGGATTTCAGAGCTGATGTAACATAGGACAAATCCATTCAATTGTTCCGTGCATTCGCACCGATGCTGTGTAAAAGACCAACCCATAAGATCGAGGATTCGGTGAAAGAAATGCAAGGACATAAATTCATCATCGAAGAGAAACTTGATGGCGAGCGCATGCAGCTGCACAAGCGCGGAAATGAATACTTTTACTGTTCGAGGTAGGACTTGTCGCGTGTACCAATGATCTAAGTTGACCCTTGATTTAGGAAAGGAAAGGATTACACTTACTTGTACGGACAGCATGTCGGGCAGGGCAGTTTGACTCCTTTTATCGACTCTGCGTTCGACGAACGGATCGATGAGTTGAGTTTATTTCGACGTTTCCTTCGTTTATAATTGAAGTTGTGTTGCAGTATCATTCTCGATGGAGAAATGCTAGTCTGGGACCCCGTTTCTGAACGTAACTTGCCATTTGGTACCTTGAAGACAGCTGCACTTGGTCGGTATCTTCAGTCAGTCCTTTGTCGAAGCGCTTATGATACCTCTCAGACAAATCGAAGAAGGAGCACAATCCCAGACCATGCTGTATGCTCCCACTGTTCTAGATTTTACAGCAATGCTCACTTCAATCTCACTTCAATCTAGTTAAGGTTTTTGACCTCCTCTATCTCAATGGCATGTCCCTCCACCAGAAGTCGCTCAAGTTCCGCAAACGCAACCTGCGCGCATGCATCAAAGAGATTCCAGGCCGCATTGAATTCACCGCGGAGTTCGAAGGCAAGACCGCCAAAGATGTTCGGCAGAAGATGGATGAAGTCATGGCGTCAAGAGGGGAAGGCCTCGTGATCAAACATCCTGACTCCGAGTACATCTTAAACGGAAGAAACAAGGATTGGATTAAGGTTAAGCCGGAATATATGGTAAATCGGTCGAGGCACCCCATTACATTTACGCTCACAGTACTTTCAGGACAACATGGGCGAGACCGTGGACGTGTTAGTAGTCGGTGAGTTCGTGAATTTATTGTGTTTACTTAGCATACAACTTCAATGTAGCTGGCAATTATGGCACTCGAAAACGTTCGGGAGGTGTTTCGACACTCATCTGCGCAGTCCTCGACGACCGGCGCCCGGAAGGGGATGAAGAACCGAAGTAAGTCTTGCAATGGATGCAGCGTCTGATGTATAAATATTCCTGGACATTAGGTACAGCACCTTCGTCAGAGTGGGCACGGGCTTGTCATTTGCAGACTATATCTGGCTCAGACAAAAGCCTTGGAAAGTATGGGATCCAAAACATCCCCCAGAATTTCTACAAACTGCAAAAAAGGCATACGAAGACAAAGGCGACTTGTATCTGGAACCAGAGGAGTATGACCCACACTTTACCTGCTGGCATAGGCTGACGATATGATTGTCAGTTCGTTCATACTGAAGGTCAAGGCGGCTGAAATCACGACTTCAGGTATCAGGCAACGATTTTAAACGCGTTGTCTCGCTGATGTGCCACGTGGAATAGATCAGTATCATTTGGGCGTTACAATGAGGTTTCCTCGAGCTTTGTTAATTCGCGACGACTTGTCCATTGCAGATTGCATGACTGCATCAGGTGCGTGCCTTTGTATTTCATCAGTACAAAGTCTGACCTGTTTTAGCTGTTCTCGAGAGCATGCGTTCCGAGCGTAAAAGAAAGATGGAAAGTGATGCTGGGTGGGTGTTCATTGGTTTTTTCGCCAACATTCAGGTTAATCCTTTGTAGCATGTCCAAGAAGAAGCGAAAGACGACGGCAAAGAAGGCAAGTGTGTTTAGCGTCTTTCGTGCTATTGTTGTCTGAGCATCTCTCAGGCAACTGTCCTACCACAATACCAAGGACCTGATCTACGTGCAGTCGAGATTGAGTCAGACCTATTTGAGGATATGAAATTTAGTGAGTCTTGATTGCTGCCTGATGTTCGATCAACGGTGACCTTGATTGTAAGTGGTGTCGTCAGACCCAAAATCACGAACAGGCAACCAAGACCGTCAACAACTGATGAAATTGTAAGACAGGATCATTTCTGACATTCTAGATCTAAGTTCGTTACAGGATCCATGCCAATGGAGGTAGCTGCGTACAGGTTGTTACATCCAAACAGCCTATTACAGTCATTTATGGAGGAATGACAACGCGTCAGTACCTATGCACATCTTTTGACTACTCTGAGGGACTGATCACAATCTCGCAGCTTACGACATTAAGCTATTGATTGACAAGAACAGTGTCGACATCATCAGACCTCAGTGGATCACGGATTGTATAAACCGAGGAGAACTCGTTCCTCTCAAAAAGAAGTAGGTGTCGTAGGATTCATTGTTTCTACATAGGATCACACTTGTTTTAGGTACTTCTTTCACGCAACCCTAGCACGTCAAGAATCCGACGATTATCATCAGCTGGACACTGATGAGGACCAGGAAATGACTGATGGAACTGTAAAGGAAGACGCGAGCCTGAAAATTCCAATCACCCCAGAAGGCTTCGAGCCGAAACTCGAAGAAACTAAGGACATTGATCCTGAACTTGTGGACTGGTTTCAAGTCGACGCCAAGCCTGCCGTTCCAGAAGACAGCGAAACGGAGGAAGAGTCTGATGCAGATTCGAACAACGATGATGTCAAAGAGGAAGATGTTGATGATGAGTGGTTCCGAGTACCAGAAGTGCCCCGCAGTCCCGCTGTTAAGCCCCTTGATGACAACGTGCGTGATTTGATTGATGGCATAACCATTATTCATTGGTTATTTTGACAGTCGTCTACCACGCTTCATTCACAGTCACAGGTAAGGGTTTCTTCACTCATGTGTTCTCTTGCTACAATGATATCAGAACATGACAATGGGGGAAGACGACCAAGCGAGGGAGTATGATACAACAGCAATATTCAAGCATCTGTAGGTCTCGTGTCTTCCAGGCTATTGGCTCTCACCATCGGTGGTAGTTGTTTTTACCTTGACTCGCCGGGCAATGCGCGGGGAAACGGAATGCCGGTGAAAACCAAGTATGAACAGGAGATCTCCACCACGTGAGCTTTCCTTTCAGTGCGGTGCCGAATATCCTTTCCCTGATATCAAATTCGATATTTTAAGCTTCGACCAGGTTTCAAGAAGCATTCGGGAGAACGGTGGAAAGATAGTTGCACTTGACGATCCAAAGCTCACGCATGTTGTCTTGGACAAGCGAGATGACTCACGTCGACTGACACTCATACAGCGTACCTCGAGGTAAGTGCTCACATACAACCTTGTCATATATAACTGAGGCAAATCTTAGACCTAAACGACGCCGATTGGTGATATCCGATTATGTGACAGCTTGTTTAGAAGAAGAATCGTTGCTTGATGAGGAAGGTGAGAAGTCTTAGTCGCTATCAGTCTTCCATACTGAGGCTGTTGCTCTTAGATTTTGCTCCGTAGTTGCTTTTTCTTGATTCTACACTTCTTATTCAACGTGTTTCCTCAAAGTTTTATTGGGGTCGCATTTTTCATCCTGCGCATTATCCTCGTGCGTTTAAGTACTGTAAATGAAACGGACAGGTCCACATGTAACTGGCCGTTACTGGCGTCAGGGAGTCGATGTTAGCTGTGGGATTGGGGAGCGGCGCCGCGTGCGAACTGCTTCGAGCCAGTGGCATTCCCTCCTCTCCAAGCCAATCATGCTCTGATGTGACGGAGAATGAGATAATGTCTCGTTCATCGTGGGAGCACGACGCGCGCGCACATACTAGATATGACTGAAAAGGTCAACAAAATTCATCATTGGTCATCGTGACCAGTAACTGGTAGTTTTCCTTCAGCGGAGAAGGCTACTAATCTCGCATAATTGCGATGGCGAAGTAGACTAACTACTATTAGGCGGGGGTCGCGCCCAGATTCCAGAGACGCACTGTTCCCAGTGCCACTCGCAAGGATGCGGTTGTTCCCAGTCGAGACAAGTTAATGAAATGGTAAAGTTTCCTGATCTCGTATGTAGTCCCTATCACCTTGTGATATGTACTACATATTCCCTAGGTAGTGTAGGGGGCGAAACTACTTTGGGCTGAGTTTTGACCAAGTGCCAGCACAACTGGCACTTGGCACATTGGCAAAATTAATTCAAGCATCAGTGGATTGATGGCGAATCTGTGAAGTCAGATTGTCCAAGTCACCCTCTCTGGTACTACTACTAGCTGTGCCAAGTTTTGCCACGGACCCTCTGAGTTCGCCAGCAATCGCCATGCCAAACACCCCTGGAGGGCCTAGGCTACTTTGGGGCTAGTTCATAGGCAGAGGGACAATGCAATGAGGGTAGTCGTTGCCACACACATGTGGCGCTAATAAGGTTGTAACATTAATTGAATCATGAATTACTCAACGCCGGTGACGGCGCCTACTATGAAGGGGCATAAATTAATTATAGCAGTACTGGAATACAAAAATACACTGTCTGCATGCAGTGCCCCTCGAGAAGCGAAAATGACCATGATGTCGTCTACTATATTTAGGGGAGGGGTGATGGTGGGAAGAGGAGAGTGGTAATACTAGCTGCTTCTTCACGGGAAAAGTTACCCCCACCCCCCAACTGTGAGGGTGATAAAGAGTGGAAGATCGGACACAACTGATCCCAGTCCTCTGTAAAGCAGTTCAGCCATGAAAGTACTGTCTTCAAGTATGACCTACGTGGGACGGGGTTCACATGTGCGGCGGTGTCTGAGGGACTTTCCGCCATTACCACGGCAAAACCGCTGGATGCGAAGAATCAGTCATTTCCTTCCTGAGAGCGTTGACAGACATACGCATCAAGATGCCAGTCGATGTGGCTTTTGGCCCAGAGTAAGTGCCGTTCTTGGTGGCTGAAGAAAAATAATGTCGTACCAATGCAAGAACCACGGGCCGGAATTATCGGTCGTCCATCGTATCACCATTTGTTGACCAGGGACGCCAGCGCTTACCACATCGCGGCGAACTGGGTTCACATAATTGAAGGTACTGAAGCCTGCGCTCTGTACGACATCGAAGGCGTGCTAATGATCGTCATCAGTACCAATCAAACATGTCATTGAAGTCAAGGTGAACTTACCCCATGAAGGTGTATGGGATGCTGGTACAACATAGAACATAGATCAGACACATAGAGATCAAAGGAAAGAAAAAGACGCACGGGTCCACCTGGACCGGTTATTATTGACAGTGTCAACTCCACCACTTTATTGGCTTCTAGAACAATTACACTCCCGTTTGGGAGCAGCTGAGACGGTTCTTGAGCTCCACTAAGAATTTGGAGTAGAACAGGAACAGTGGGGGGTTTGTATGTGACATTATTGATATAGAATAATCCGGTGTTATTGGTAACCTGGAGGTTGAGGTTGATATCTGCGTTCCCGTACCCTGGAATGCCAGAAGCACCGGGATTAATCAGAGCATGCAAGTTGGGCTCTAACAAATGGTTCAAGGCTGTCGTATTGACCGTGGTTGGGTCGACTTGTGGGGCGCCTTGGTAGCGCAAGATAGCACAATTCGTTCCTCCCACAAAGGATGCGCCTGCCAAATTAGGAAGACTGCGTATCCAGTAGTTATCCACCGGTTGATCGGCTATCAGAACCACAGAGTAGCGCTGACCCGCAAGAATCGTGAGCTCATCTACCACCACAGGTTCGGTCAGCTGTCCATCCGCTTCGATGACTGTAAGGTTGTGGCCATCGATGGAGAACAGGAACTCGGAGTCACAGGACATTGCAACCAGCCGCATGCGATATCGCTTTCCCTGTGCGATGCTGATCACAGCAAGATTAGACGCGGGCCCACCTGCATAACGACCCAGTCCATTAATAAGCGTGGAGTTGGCGGTGGTACCTATGATGTGGCTCAAGACGGGGGCCACGACGTGATACCTAGCGACGCTACTTTAATCGGGCAGGTTACGGATGTACCTAAAACTCACCAGTCGGAAAGTGTGATCACGGTGCTCGCTGGTAACACATGACAGTCAGAGGGTTAACATGAACCAATTATTCGCTCACCATCGTCGACATCATACATGTATCCCAAAGGGTCATCAGGATCATAGATCACCAGGGCTCCCCTCAGACCATCACACTGTTCCACACGTCAGTCCCCCACTGCATGCACAAATTTCGAGAGCTACTTACATATTGGACGGAATAATGACTATGATACCAGTAAGTGCCTGCTTGGTTCGGGGCGGAGAATGAGTGTAAGAAAGAGTGGTTCTGTGCGATGGGGCATTGTGTGACGAAGGACGTCCCGTCCGCATAATTCGTCCCATTCTGGAAGATACCGTGCCAGTGCTGCGCCAAATAAGATTAATTAAGAAATGCGCGGGTGATTGGCACTGCTTACGACGCTGGTACTCTTGAACATTGACTCGTCTTTGAGCTCGTTCACTACCTCAATAGCAAAGTTATCTCCCTATCGTGAGGTCAGCGCTGGTGCACGACAAGGAGGTCGACGGGAGCTCACCTTCTGGGCTGTAATCAATGGTCCAGGGAACATGCCGTTGACAACAGTTGCTCTGTTAAAGATCAGGAGCAAGCTTGGAGTGTCGTGGCGATAGACTCACGCGCGTTCGAAGCCATCGGGAGCGATGACCTTATTACCTATGGTTATTGTAGTTTTGGGGCCGAGTACGGCGGTCTGAGGGTAGGACTGTGAGCGAGATACTATAGATACAGCATTAATCGATGAAATGAGAGAAGCGAATACGATAGGAATAATCATCGTGATTATTCACGATAGGCCGTAGTGCTCTCACCCGGGAGAGTAGTGCAATGCAGGTTAAGATGATGGTGAGGGACACATACCCCTCTGAGCTTTTATCTTGTACTACTTGCAGCGGTAGCCTCGAGTGTATCTCGATTCAAAGCAGCTGTACCTCGACTAATGTTAACCAGGGTGTGATCGCTCCACAATCAGTTGTTCAGCAATCCCCGGCGCCCTGAACATCTGAATTTCAACAGTGTACTGCTCTTGGAGTTAGCAACTATCTGCCGACGTATTGAAGAATGAAGGCGTACCACAATTGCAACCATGACTCGGAAAACATAAAATAAGTCAGACGGCTAGGACAGCCAGGTGGTCATAGATGTTCCACAGCAGTGCCAGTGTCAGGTTTCTACGTCAGTTGAAGGCAACTCTTCAAGCATAGAAAAAGAAGAATGCAGATAGTGAGTACTGGTCAAGTATGCTGTGCGAGAAAATCGGACTAGATTTTGTCTGGGAGGAATGGTCACACGCTGTAAAGGAGCTGAGTACCAACCTGCTCGTGTCCTGGAACAGATCAAAGGAAACATGAATATCAAGTGTTCAGCAGCGTAGATAATTGTGATGATTACTCTGGAAGGACCGATGTCATCGCAGAGATTTTGTGTTGTCTAACTGATACCGTCGCTGTGCGATGCGAAAGGAAACTGAGGGATCAGGCTGTAATCAGATGAGATCCTGGAAAGGTCTGGAACAAGCATATACCTTCATGGCTTCATTCTCATTCAGCAACGATCAATATTTTGCTGTATGACGGATCAGCGATGCTAAAGTTGGACTTGGATGCTGACAATATTCACTTCTCCTGTGGCCGTCGCAAGATTGCGCACCAGCACTGATAAAATAAATCATGTGGGCCAGGTTAGCTTGCAACCACAAATCAATACAACTTTTGGCACAGACCTGAGATGGGTAAGTGGATCCGAGGAATGGGTTAGAAACCGCCGGATGTGAATATTTCAATTGCGGCGTTGCACGGGAATGCAATGTACACCAAAGTCGATGTTGCGCCTTCCCTTGCAAAAATGGATTAGTAACATCATTGTATCGGCCCAGAGCTATGTCACAAGGCAACACGACAGCGGCATCGAGAGCGGAGACTGTTCTTCGAAGATGGAAATAATGCCTCCAAACAAGAATAGCTTCGCTGTTAAACTAGGATTAGAAACTGGTTGCCGCAGGGTGTACTAGTGGTGGCCCGTCTGAACCTTGGTAATGGCCAACTGTGCACCAGACGCTCAAATGTCTCGGCAACGAATTTTGAAGGAGACGGCCAGCAGCGGCAAGCTTTTATGATGGCTGTGCCGTAATTAAATGGCGCAAGTCGGGCACCATAAAGGATTGGACAACCGCGCATGTAATGAAATGGAGACTCCGTTCACGGAGTTGACAGGCTATGGTAGTTACTAGCAACAGTGATTGCGACAGCAGACCAAAGCCAGTTGAGTTCCTCATGAACGACGTAGTTTCGAATCCAGTGGAATTGAAATTTGAGAAACTTCACAGACAGTCTTTGCTTGGCACTAGCGTGGACGTGGTCTGAGGATGTTCCAATCTCAATGGACCATTGAGTCGAAACCGGTGGCGTTATTGCAAAGTAACTGCTGTGTCTGGCGCTTCAAAGTTCAAAACTCCACGCGTGATAAAGTACATCAGCGCGATCCAAACTCCAGGTCCGCTATCTTATTGATTCCCGCACGGGCCGTTCGACTAGGCTGGGAAGGGAGCCTTGGGTATTGGACTTCTGAACCAGCGAAGATACTATGCGTGTGGTGACAAGGCCTGACCTAATAATAGCCTGGGGTTACATGGGCGGAGTGGAGCATCAATAATATATATATAGGTCCCAGAATCCCTGATCAATGACTTCCGACACCCACTTTAGGACTTTAGGGTTTTGTCGGACGAGTTCGTTAAGGCACTGTACACTGAACAGCGGGAAACATAGAACTCACTGCGGAAACGAGAAAATAGATCGAGTATAGATAGAACAGTTAACCATACCCAAACTAGATACAGGCAAGTCTGTCTCGTGTATGAAGGGCGTGTTATTCGGACCCCAATTATATTACTCTAGTCAGATGTGCGACCTCCGCCAGAAAATTCACTAATTAAATTAAGATTCTCGGGCTTAAAGCAGTTGAATCCATAGCTAGGAAATGTAGTATCTTAACAGAAATCATTGTATTTTAGAATAAACAAGTTTAACGAAGTTAGGCGGCTACTAATCATTCAAGCAAGGTCAACGCCAGTGACGGCACCTAATTATGAAGGGGCAGAAATTAATTATAGCAGCACTGGAATACAAAGATACATTATCGGTATGCAGTTCATGCTGTAAACATGATGCCCCCAGGAAACGAAAATGATTATGATGTCGTTCTACCATATTTAGGGAAGGGGTGATGGTGGGAAGAGTTTAGTGGACATATTAGCTGCTTCTTCATAGGAAAAGCGACCTCCGCCCCCCAATTGCAAGGGTGATAAAGAGTGAAAGATCGGACACAACTGATCCCAGTCCTCTGTAAAGCAGTTCAGCTATGAAAGTACTGCCTCTTCAAGTATGACTTACGTGGCACGGGGTTCACATGTGCAGCGGTGTCTGAGGGACTTTCTGCCATTACCACGGCAAAACCGCTGAATACAAAGAATCAGTCATGTCTTTCACGAGAGCGTTGACAGACATACGCATCAAGATGCCAGTCGATGTGGCTTTTGGCCCAGAGTTAGTACCGTTCTTGGTGGCTGAAGAAAAGTAATGACATACCAATGCAAGAACCACGGACCAGAATTATCGGTCGTCCATCGTATAACCATCTGTTGATTAGGGACGCCAGCGCTTACCACATCGCGGCGAACTGGGTTGACATAATTGAAAGTACTGTTGCCTGCGCTCTGTACAACATCGAAGGTGTGCTAATGATCGTCATCAGTACCAATCAAACATGTCATCGAAGTCAAGGTGGACTTACCCCATGAAGGTGTATGGGATGCTGGTACAACATAGAACATAGATCAGACACATAGAGATCAAAAGAAAGAAAAGACGCACGGGACCACCTGGTCCGGTTATTATTGACAGTGTCAACTCCACCACTTTATTGGCTTCTAGAACGACCACACTCCCGTTTGGGAGCAGCTGAGACGCGTCTTGAGCTCCACTGAGAATTTGGAGTAGAACAGGAACGGTGGGGGGTTTGAATGCGGTACCATTGACATAGAATGTTCCGTTGGGACTAGTAATCTGGAGGTTGAGGTTGATATCTGCGTTCCCGTACCCTGGAATGCCAGGAGCACCGGGATTGATCAGAGCATGCAAGTTGGTCTCTGCCAATTGGATCTGGGTTGCACTGACTGTGGTCGGGTCGACCTGCGGAGCGCCTTGATAGCGCAGGATAGCAGAGTTCGTTCCTCCCACGAAGGATGCACCCCCTAAATTAGGAAGACTGCGTATCCAGTAGTTATCCACCGGCTGATCGGCTACCAGAACCACAGAGTAGCGCTGACCCGCAAGAATCGTGAGCTCATCTACCACCACAGGTTCGGTCAGCTGTCCATCCGCTTCGATGACTGTAAGGTTGTGGCCATCGATGGAGAACTGGAAATTTGGGTCGCAGGACATTGCAACCAGCCGCATGCGATATCGCTTTCCTTGTTCGACGCTGATCACAGCAAGATCAGACGCGGGTCCGCCTACATAACGACCCAGTCCATTGATGAGCGAAGAGTTGGCAGTGGTACCTATGATGTGGCGCAAGACTGGGGCCACGACGTGATACCTAGTAACGCTACTTTAATCGGACAGGTTACGGATGTACCTAAAACTCACCAGTCGGAAAGTGTGATTACCGTACTCGCTGGTAACATATGAAGGTCAGGGGGTTAATGTGAACCAATTATTCGCTCACCATCATCGACATCATACATGTATCCCAAGGGATCATCAGGATCATAGATCACCAGGGCTCCCCTCAGACCATCACACTGTTCCACACGTCAGTCCTCCGCTGCGTGCGCAAAATTCAAGAGCTGCTTACATATTGGACGGAATAATGACTATGATACCAGTAAGTGCCTGCTTGGTTCGGGGCGGAGAATGAGTGTAAGAAAGAGTGGTTCTGTGCGATGGGGCATTGTGTGACGAAGGACGTCCCGTCCGCATAATTCGTCCCATTCTGGAAGATACCGTGCCAGTGCTGCGGCAAATAAGATTAATTAAGAAATGCGCGGGTGATTGGCACTGCTTACGACGCTGGTACTCTTGAACATTGACTCGTCTTTGAGCTCGTTCACTACCTCAATAGCAAAGTTATCTCCCTATTGTGAGGTCAGCGCTGGTGCACGACAAGGAGGTCGACGGGAGCTCACCTTCTGGGCTGCAATCAATGGTCCAGGGAACATGCCGTTGACAACAGTTGCTCTGTTAAAGATCAGGAGCGAGCTTGGAGTGTCGTGGCGATAGACTCACGCGCGTTCGAAGCCATCGGGAGCGATGACCTTATTACCTATGGTTATTGTAGTTTGGGGGCCGAGTACGGCGGGCTGAGAGTAAGACTGTGAACGGGATACTATAGATACAGCATTAATCGATGAAATGAGAGAAGCGATTAAGATAGGAATAATCATCGTGGTTATTCACGATAGGCCGTAGTGCTCGCACCCGGGAGAGTAATAAGAAGTAAGATAAGATGATGATGATGAGGGACACATACCCCTCTGAGCTTTTATCTTGCAGCGGTAGCCTCTAGTGTATCCCGATTCAAAGCAGCTGTACCTCGACTGGTGATGACTCCATAAACAGTTGCTCAACAATCATCAGCTCTCCGGACATCTGAATTTCAACAGTGTACTGCTCTTAGAGTTAGCAACCACCTGCCGACACATAGCAGAATGGTGGCGTACCACAATTGCATTATAGAACCATGACTCGAATAACATAAAATAAGACAGACGGCCAGGACAACCAGGTGGTCGCGAATGTCCTATAGCAGTGCCGGTGTCAGGTTGCTACGTCAGTTCAACGCAACTCTTCAAGCATAGTAAAAAAAGAATATTGATGGTTAGTGCTGGTCAAGCATGCCATGCGAGAAATCGAACTAGATGTTGTCAGGAAGAAATGGTCACACGCTGTAAGGGAGGCGACCTGGAACTGATCAAAGTAGATATAGATGTCATCTGTGTTAGGCAGCGTGAATGATAACTATAATGACTACTCTGAAAGGACCAATGTCATCGCGGAGGTTTTGTGCCGTCTAACCGATACCGTCGCTGTGTGATGCGGAAGGAAAAAACTGAAGGCAGTGATCAGACGTGATCCTAGGAAGGCCCGGAGTATGTATGTGCCTTTGTGCCTTCATTTTCATTCAGTAACTTGCTGTATGGCGGATCAGCTTGGGGAACATCGATGCTAAAGTTAGATGCAGACAACAGCTTACTGGAGATATGAGATGTTGACAACGTTTACTTCTCGTGTAGCTATCGCAAGATTGCGCACACTAGCATTGGTAGAATAAATCATGTGGGCCGGATTAGCTCGCCACCAAAAAGAAGTCCAATTTTTAGCACAGACCTGAAGACGGGAAATCAGAGGAAAGTGGTCGGAAATCGTCGGATGTAAAGGAGACTGTTCTTCGAAGATGGAAACAGTGCCTCAAAACAGGAATAGCCCCATTGTTAAACTAGGATTAGGGGCTGGTTGCCGCAGGAGGCACTAGTGGTGGCTCATCTGAACCTTGGCAATGGCCGACTGTGCACCAGACGCTCAAATGACTCGGCACCGAATTTTGAAGGGCGGCCAGCGGCGGCAAGCTTTAATGATGGTCGTGGTGCGACCATCGCGATGAAGAAGGTTGTGTCATTCTTGAATGATGCAAGTCAGGCTGAAGTGTACCATAAAGGATTGGATCAGCCATGTACATCATAATGAAATGGAGACTCCGTTCACAGAGCTGGCAGGCTATGGTAGTTGCTAGACAGACAGTTGTGTTCCTCTTGGTCAATGTACTTTCGAACCTATGGTGGACTTAGCACTAGCGTGGATGTGAGTCGAAACCAGTGCAAAGTTCAAACTAACTGCCGAGTCTCCCGCTTTAAAGTTCTCGCGGCATGCGTTGCATGACGTCAGCGCCTCGCTGCTGCTCCCAAAATGAGTTGAACCAGAACGTCCAGGAACGATTCCTGGCGTTGCATTGGAACGTTGATGTTTGATCGCCGCTGACTGTAGACGAGTAGGTTTCCCTATTATGTAATAGAGCGTCCTCCACATTGCATTCCTCGACGACTGATTTCATCTTCTATTCGTCATATGCATTCTACTAGCTGGTAACAGATCATAGTAAATGGAGATGCAACTCTTCGCAGAACAAATAACACAACGATGATGACAAGAATCTGATAACTTAGTAGCAAGTCGCCAAAGTGAAACGATAAGATACACAAGGAGAACGAAATAACAACAATTCGTCCAGACAAAATACCATGGTAATACACTCTGAATCATGAAAACAAGATTGAGCTCACAGAACGAAATCAATCAACTCAGAACCACCGAGCCCATTTCCCCGGACTCGGCATGTTCGGGCTCTCGTACAACAGACCGCGTCGGCCTTCAAATAATCCAATCGGGCTCTCTTGCATCCCTTTTGCGCCAAGCCGCGCCAGCTCCTCATCAAGGATTGCCCCTGGATCATGCGGATCAAATATAGGACTTTGATCCAGGCGTACGGAATGGCGACTCTGCGGAGGAACTGTGCGTAGGAAAGACCAGCTTCTTGGGCGTTACAGGCGGGAACAAGATAGAGGTATCTTTATGATGATGTCCATGCGCATGCGTGCCGCGCTTGCACGACGGTGTGCGGATATTCTCGGTATCAAATACAGCAGGGTTAATCCCATCGTCCGGGTGGAAGGTGGCGGAGGGGGGTGGATCGAGATTGAATTTGTAATGCGCGAGGCTTGCGGAGGGACTCATGTGGAGGCCTTTATGAGACAAGGGCGTGCGAATGGGTGAGAGTTGTACAGTATTGCTGCCACCCCTACGAGGAGGCGTCGAAGGACGAGGAGGGGCGTCATAGGTCGGTGTGATGTAGAGGTTGGCAACATGGGCGGAGGACAACCCTTAGCAGGTGGCTTAGCTTTCTTGGATTTGCCACGACGGTCAAGCGTAGGAGATACCGGCACGGGAGGCAGTCCAATGGATTTTCTGCACAAACACAGCTCTATAATCAGGAAAAACCGGAGACAAGAGGATGTGCGCAACATTCGGATGTGTTTGGGAGGTGGTAAACTGCCTTTGAGTTGGCGTCTATCAGTATCAAGTAGAGTAATTCCAGACTCTAGCGGAGGGGTTGACTCGATGCGAGGGCTCATGCCGCCATCAAGGTTAAAAAAGAGGTGATCCTCAGAGGACAACTGGGGACTGGAAGAACTTTTACTCGGCGAGAGGCCGGGTAGGGAGGAAGGGGGGATCGGTGACGTCTGCGCCACATCAGAGCTCTTGACGGCAGATGATGATGAACTAGTACGAGCGTAACTCGACGATGGTGGTAAGGGAGGAAATATGACATCGGCAGGCAGCTGTGCACAGTTTTGATAGTAAGGTTGGTGATGGGCAGAACTGCGAGGAGGAAAAAGAGGGAGGAGTTGCGAATATGGCACAAGGGTTGGCAGAGCGGAGCCTGAGAATGCAGGAGTCGTCTCTTGTACAGGCGAGCTTGTCGGCGGTTCAACAGGTGCAGGTGCAGCACCTTTCTTCTGTCGTTTCGTTTTGCGACCAGACGCCGATTCTTCCGCTGCGCGCTTCTTAGGAGCAGTCTTCTTGTTGACTCCTTAATTTCCGCGCAGAATTCTTTCCTGAAACCACCATCAGTGAAAACTCGAGATCGCAGTCCCAAATCGCCCAGAGCGTGCGCCCAACACTGCGATCACGGGGGACCTTACGGAAGCATATGGTTGTACTGAGGACATGACGAATAGAGTTCATCCACGTCATTTCGCTTCGGTTGTAATACGGATACACGATCGTAATCCAATCGTAAAGTTCCTGTAGGGTGAGCCGATGATCTGGCGAAGAAAGTATTGCTTGGCCGATAAGGGCCGCATACGAGAGGTCTGGTTTCTTCATAGAATATGGACCGGGAGGAAGGGTATATGGAAGATTTTCGTAATCATCTTCATCTGGGAGGGGACCCATGGGGCCAGGCGATGACACAAGGTTGACAATAGGTTTAGAGGGCGTCGCGAACGGAGAAGATTGAGGTGGAGAGGATGAAGGCAGGGGCGATTGTAATAGGCGTTGCGGCGGGGGGTGATAAAGTTCGCATTGAAGTGTCTGCAACACTCGCCGTATGTGGCTGATCGAATATCGAGCAAGAACTGTGGCGCGTGGGAGTCGGTGACTGGTCTCGGGGGGTAAGAACCCTTGAAGCGAATTTGTATTCATTGTAATTGTCAAGAATGAAATTTGAACATACCCTTTTGAGACGTGAAGGATGTCTACGGTATCATAATCTCTATAATACTTGCGGTGCTGAGGAGTGACAGGAAGGGGAAGTTCATCCTCGTGGTTGTCCTTGAATGCAGCAGTGTACGTAAGTGACAGCAACAACGAAAATGGCGCTATATAGATGGCACACACCAATGAGGCATATTGGTAGAGGAATCAGATTGATCCAAGGATGGGACGCGTCGTAAATCGCGTGATTGCATGAACGCGTCAAGGCTGAAAGCTGTGCTTGCAGGGGATGGAGAAGGTGCATTGCGGTCCTTGTCTTTCTTTCCCCGCTTATCGCGCTTTATTTTTCGGCTCCTTCTCTCGAGGATCATTTCCATGCTGTCCATATGACGGAGCGAGATAGCAGGCTCCACGGGCTCAGATTTGACAGGCGTGGAAGGGGGTGGTGTTTGGGAAGCAGTAGACGTGTTTTGACGCGAATTTGAGCTGGAATGAGAGCAGGAGCGAGATTTGCCAAGAACAGAAGCAATACTCTGTTGTGCATCTGCAGACTCTGCAGAAAAAACGCGAAGAGTCTTCGCGTCTTGAGTAGTCAAAAATTGACGCATTTGGTCGCTATGACGGCTCAGATCGTCGCGGGTCAAACCAATTTTCTGCAACAGGTTGGATATCGGTGAAATAGGTTTCGCGGGTTGTTCAACATCCGCCATTGCGGTTTAGAAAAAAGTACAAAAGATATGGTCAGGCAAGACTATAGGAGGAGTGAAAGTGATTAGCAGTTACCAAGGCGGAGTTTCAACGCTCTTGTGCATTTTTGTTCATCATCCACTCTCGCGATCTCAGCCTGAACATATTTAGATTCTTCTGCAGGGTCTATGCCAACATTAACCGTGAGCACACTATGTAGTCTCCATCGCTCGTCTTCGAGCTTAGTTCAAGCTTAGTCCCTTGCAGGATGTTTCAGTCGACATTGAAATGCCCTCATGGACTTGCAGTTCTGGATCATACAGCACAAGTGGAATTCGAATGTCTCACAATTACGGCTCATAGGTCCACACCGCAGAGATGTTCACACACATCTTTCTCATTAATACACTTTGGTGAAGCTTGGGTATGTAAGGCCGTCGTTTGATTCGACCTTCTTTTCTCTTTACTTCCACTTGCTTCATTGGTTTTGACCTCTAATTTATGTAGTATTCGGTAATTAAACCACGAGATTGTACGCTCTAACGATTCTGGAATATCTTCGACTACCTGGACTTGCTCTCACGAGGTTTTGTTTGGATTCGAGTGTGAGGACCATCTCATTTTGTGCGCGTTTACGACGTCTTGGATCCATCACGGCACTTGTTCACTTGACGGAGTATGAGTCTACTAATGTGAACCAAAGTTAACACTGTCTCAAAGTTTGGGATAGCGAGCTTATGACAAGACCATTCCAAATACCCCAAAGGACTCCACTGAGGCCATAAACGATATGCTGGCACAGATTGCCACTATCATTCGACCAAGAACCACTTCCTGGACCACGCGATGTGCTACGCAAATGATGTTTCTCTGACTTCTCGCGTGTGTCGGACACTGAAGAAGAATTCAATACTGACCCGTGACCAAACGTGCCCTAACTGTTC